GTAAATTGTGATGAAAAAATCATAAAAATGGATGCTGATTAAGTATAGACTAAATGAATTATTAGTAGTACAAAAAGACAAAAAAGGGCTACCACTCTATTGCTTATGGCCTATATTGCTTTCATATCTTCGGCAAATGATGATTATTCCACGTTCCAGATATAATTTATGATAAGGTCAACACTTTTAAGTTAAAACAAACTATCAGCGAAAGACCACAAAAACTTAAATCGCGGAAATTTATAAAATATTTATAGCAAGTTTTAAAATCATGGCTCAATCAAGTATATCTCTTCTCTCTCTCGCTCTCTCTGTTTTTTTTTTTTTATTTATTTATTTAAAGGAAAGCCCAAAGATAAAATCGATTCAAGCATTAAAAGCCGTACCCTGCTTGATCAGTATCATGACTGCATTACGTACGGTTGCAAAAATCTTCCAATTCTAATTCCTCGTTTAATTTACAAACGTCGGACATTGATAGCTGTTTGCATGGGATGACAGTTTTGTATTAGTCCTTAGCTTTATGAAGTTTTAAGCTGAGCACTAGAATACGCTACAGAAGCTATTACTATTTTCACTGATTTCCCTAAGTTGGAAAATTTGCAATTTCTTCAATGCCTTCAAATAATATGGTATAGGAAGCGCCCTTGACAGTATTAACTGAAATTTCCTGTCACCTCTCAATTACAATTAATTATAAGGTTTCGGTTTGATCGTGTCTTCTGTAAGTTCCAAAACAAAACCGTTATCAAACATTTTCCGATAGATAGGGAATTTCAAAGTGAATTATATTGGTAAAATTTTAATGCTATGCTTATAAAATTTTAAACGAGTAACAGCTGTGTTTGATAATGCGAATTAAGGACTCTGAGATCACGCGGTACTGTTTACCAAGTGTTGTGATTTGTTGTGTATTGTGTATTGAACAGTAAGTACAGTTTGGCTTGATATAAACACTTTTATATCAACCTGACCATCATATTATATCTTCTACTTTGTAAAAGGGTCAAGTTATTGAGCTATTTTACCATCGCCCCGAAACTGTTCGCTGAACACAATCGAAGGCAATCAGTTTAAGAGCGAAAACAAGCTTTTAGTTTACACAAAGGTACGTAAAATTGGTTTTTCGGAATCGGTTCGGCCTTTTTAAATCATTCTTCAAATAACTGAACCAAAAATTAAAGGAGAAGTTTTTCCCACGTACATTCAAAAAAACGGCTGAAAGATTGTCAACTTCTGACTCCTTCTTCGAAGCTGCAAAGGAAAAATCTATGTATTTGTTAAGGAGGCATGTAACATTATCGATTTAATAATATTATTGCTCTTATTCACTGTGTTGTAGCTGAACCAAAACTGAGAAGGTAAAGAAGACCATCATCATGAACAACTTCAATCAAACCGATCCTTATGATTCTGCGTTGTGCCCTCACGCCGTTTCCATTTTCTTTACAACGACCATGGCTATAATCAGCTTAGCAGGTCTCATAGGAAACTTTTTGGTGATCTTCTCAGTTTACAAAACTCCAAGTCTGAGGACAAGCACCAACTATTACTACGTCAACATGGCGGTGTCCGATTTTACTGCCAGTTTTGCCATCTGGCCGCTGTACCTCACTGATGAGATCATAACAAGCAGTGGAAGTCTTCTTCAAGAGCCTCTGGCAACTGCTGCATGCAAAGTAGGAGCGTATTTCAGACTGGTATCGACCATAGTGTCTATCTTAAGCCTGGTGTTGATTGCTTTCAACAGATTCGTGGCTACCGTATTTCCTTTGAAGGCACCTCTGATTACACCCAAATCAAGGGCAGCTTCACTCTTTGCCACATGGTTGATATCGATTGCGTTCTCTTTCCCGGCGGCGTACCATTCCAGTGTGCAAAAAGTCGGTCATGAAACATTCTGTAGATTCGTGTGGAATGAGTTGGCGAGTACGATCTACTTTGTAACTGGCCTAACGTTGTTTACTGTCTCACCATTGATTATTATTATCGTTCTTTATCTCCGTATCGTGCGGTCTTTGAGGAGAAGAGTGCAACCGCAGACCAATACAAGAGACAGTAGCCTCCAAAGAAACAGAAGCAGACAAAACCAAAATGTAATGAAAATATTCAAATCCGTTGTTATTGCATATTTCGTTACCTATTCTTTTTATTGTGTATACTTTATCCTCAAAATCACGGTCCCTGAACTTTCTTACAAAGACAGCTGCAAGTTAATTTTGGGTTTTACCTATTTAGTATTGCCATCGCTAAGCACGGCAATTAATCCAGTAATTTTATTTGCATTTAGCAGTAATTTTCCCCAAGCTCTGCGTATGCTTAATCTGTTTTCTTTCCGTTTTGCACTGAATTCAGTTCACGTTGTAAGCACATCAGTACAAGAACGAGATGAGTCCAGACCAAATCAAGCCAAATCTAGTCAGACGCAGTGTTGAATATATAAAGGTAAAAATGGTTAAATCTTATGCCCGCCTACACTAGCGTTAAATAAGTTTCAGAATGATGGCTGACGGCTTAAAAATATTTCTTCCATTTAAAGGAGCTCAGTCACGGTATTTTGAGTTATTTTGGCCAGGTACAAAATTCACTTGAAATCGAACGAAACCTGAAATTAGCTGTTTACTAAGATAGAAAAACAGCAAAGAGATAATGATAAACCACGAAAAAAGAAGGATAGCTAAGGATGGAGAAGATTAACGTGGACTACAATTGACAAACTTGAGAAATTTAGTCCAAACTTTTCAAGATGTGGAAACTATGATGTAGCTTCTTTCAGGTGACTGTGAATTGAATCTCTTCGAAAGCTTGCATAATGACGACACACATGGTAATTATGTAACATTTGTCCACCCATCTTCCAAAGCTCACAACTTCCATTCAACCGTGTTCTTTTTCGTTACTTTGATCACCAACATGGGCAACTCTCCTTTATTTCAGTCTCTCAAGATTGATTAAATGCAACTCTAATAGGCCTAGTCTCAAGTTTGTTTCTAAGGCTGTCAAGCCTTCTTTTATGGAAGCGCGTGAGGGCGTTAACAAATATCTGTTCGGCAGTTTGCTTAATACCCTTGATTTCTTTTTGGAAAGTACTATCAGGCGCAATATTGGCCTTTGCAGAGTACTGCAATGATTTCGGACAAGTCCGATTGTTCAAATGTCTTTCCAGTTTAAGGATAGAATCCTTAAACTCTCCACTGAGCTGGCTCAGTGGAGAGTTTCATTTACTCCTGTTAACATGAATGGGATTCAAACCCATTCGAAAAGCATTTGCCAGCTGAGTGGAGAGTTTCACACGCTCCACTTAAATTGAACGGGATTCAAACCCATTCGAAGATGTAATTTTAAGCTGGGTCAGTGAAGAGTTTCAATCGTTCCTCTTAATTATAACATAAAGGGGATTCAAACCCATTCGAAAATGCATTAGCTAGCTAATTGAAGAGTTCCACACGCTCCAGTTAAATTGAACTGGATTCAAACCCATTCGAATATGCATTCCCCAGCTGGGTGGAGAGTTTCGCGCGTTCCACTTAGTGCTTGTTTACTTTCACGTCCCGAGGTAAGGTTGTTCGATGAACTCGGTGCTTCCGTACCATTTGTTGGAAACTACGCCACGCAGGTAGCACAAGTACCATGCGTCCATCCTTTGGAAACATGAGTCCAGACGGTCGCAATAATGTGGTTCATGAATTGTGACTGGGTCAGTACTCATCGCAGATGATTCGTTCTCAGCTGAACCAGAGGATTGTGGCTGTTTTCAAGCAGGGGTTACATACTGTCGTGCTCTTTCGCGCGTGAGCGAAAACACGTTGTAACTTTAAAAAAAAAAAAAAATCACTTATAGCACTTAGCATTAGACCGCGAAAGAAATGTACCTTTGATATCCGTGATGGAGAAAGGATGGGATGTAGGTGGTAAAGATAGCGACATCAATAGTGTTTAGCCATAACGGATCTAATTAAAAATTTGCTGTAAGGGAGAGAGAGAGAGAGAGAGAGAGAGAGAGAGAGAGAGAGAGAGAGAGAGAGAGAATATTACCTAAGAGTCAAGAGATAGAATACCTCTGAGGACGGGGACATCAATTGTTTAAAGCTAGTCTGAATTTAGTTGAACGTCACGCCACGTGTTCTATTAGCTTTGCGATTCTTCATCCTTTTTGCGGAAATGATAAAAATACAGGAATAATTAGCATTTTTCACCGATAGTTTGATATCTTTTTTTCGAGAGACGCGAAGGAAAGTGTTTCCCAGGTTGATGAAGGACTGGATACCACATACAAGGTGACAATGAGAGGATGCTGGATGCTGAGGATGAGTTGTCAAAACTTTCACGAAGGTGAGAATCGGTTATCGAATTGTGGAAGCCTATATACAGCGGTAACTCATCTGTCAGCAGACAAATCTGACATAGATACCAAAAGAATAAAAAAAATATATTTAAAATGGCTAATCACATAATCCCGTACGCGCGTTCCACTTAATCCTACAAAGTTTGGCCAAGCGAGGGAGTTAGGGCAGGGACATGGGAATGACAAAGAGACACTTCACATCACGTAACATAACAAGGATTTTAAACCGCTGGCCACTTTTACTAGCGTGTCAAAGATGGCGTGAATGACACGGAGCGCGACACACGAATGCAGAAGAACGCCTTGAAATGGTTCGTTTATCGTTAATTTTTTCGGTCGACGAGCTTGTTTAGTGTAATGCTGACAATATTATTATTTTTTATCAATAGGATATTCGATCTTTTTTCAGTCCCAAAGGAAAAACTTCAAAACCAGGGGCCTCAAAGGTTGCATGAGGATAAGCGCGGGAAAGACTCAAGTGCGAAGCCTGCATCGAAGGGCCGTGCGAAAAGCAAGGTAAGAATTTTTTTTGGTTTCCGACAGTGGAGACGGTTGAATGGATTCTAAACTGTGAGTAAGTTCAGTTAATTGATAAGATGGGGATTCAAAGAGTGTAATCACGTTTTGATGAGACGAGTAAATATCTTTTTCTTCTCGCTTGGAAATTTGAATTTCTGTTTTAGTTTATAAGCTTACCAGTATTCCACTTCCACCCCCACCCGCTGTAGAGAGGTTACCTGTGGACCCTTTGAAAAGGAAATTTTTGCAAACAGGCAGATGTCCAGTTAAAGAATTTGGGAAGAAAGAAAACAAACAAACAAACAAACAAACAAA